GCGCTGCAGGTGTTGCGCCCGTCGCAGCACGTGCTGGAGCGCAGCACCGTCACGCTGGTACACGGCAACGGCGGTGCCGCGGAGGTGCATCTGTACGCGCGCGTCAAGCTTCCTGGCCACGGGCGCCGCATCGACGGCGGCGGGGCGCTGCGGATCTTCTACGATGAGCTGCTGCCCGTTGTGGAGCGCTGCATCGTTGGCCTCGACGAGGAGGCCCTGTTACAGCACGTCACGTGCGTCCATGACCAAGAAGAACTGCGCGGCATGCTGTACGGCGTCGGCTGCGTGGCGTTCGTCGCGAACGGCGCGGTACTGCCGCGGGACGCTGGGGACTCGGACCGGCCGCTGAGCGATGGAGCGGTGCCGTTCGTGTCGCCGCCGTCGCTTGAGCGCAGTTTCCACCTGCCCCACAGTGGCATCACGGTTAAAGGCATGGGCTTGCCTCAGGGGCTGACGCTCATCGCGGGTGGTGGTTTTCATGGAAAATCGACGCTGCTTCGCGCGTTGGAGGTGGGGGTGTACAACCACACACCAGATGACGGAAGAGTGTACGTGGTGGTGGATCCAACAGCGGTGAAGATTCGCGCGGAGGACCGTCGCTCCATCTACGGCGTGGACATCTCGCCCTTTATTAACAATTTACCATTCAAGAAAGCCACGACGTCATTTGTCACATCCGACGCGAGCGGCAGCACGAGCCAAGCCTCTAACATCATGGAGGCGCTGGAGCTTGGGTCGCAGCTGCTGCTGCTAGATGAGGATACCTGCGCCACCAATCTCATGTACCGCGATGCGTGGATGCAGATGCTCGTGCCGCGCGAACAGGAGCCCATCACTCCCTTCATGGAGCGTGTCACAGACCTCGTGCAGAACCACGGTGTCTCCTCGATCATGGTGGTGGGCGGATCTGGGCAGTACTTCCCACACGCCTCCGTTGTGCTGGTCATGAATGCGTACCAGGCACATGACTGCACAGAGCGTGCGAAAGACATCGCGGTTGCGTCGATCCCAGAGCCACCGAGAAATTCACATGGCGGCTCTGCATTTTCGTCCTTGTCGCTCCGCCGCTTCGACGGGAATGCGACGTTCTCCGCGGTGCGCACTCGCAGAGACCGTGAGGGGACGAAGGTTAGCGGCGTTGGCACCGATGCTGTCCGCTTCTCGGAGGAAACTATTGATCTCTCCATGGTGGAGCAGGTAGTGGAGGAAGGGCAGGTCAACGCTATTGCACAGTGTCTTGCTTTGATGTACGATGAGGGAGAGAAGGGTGTTGAGGAGATTCTCCGCAAGGGCAAGCAGCTGTCCACGTTCGTCTCTCCTGCTGGTGGCAGTACGGCACGACAGAGCGCGTTCCGCTCTGACTTCTCCGCGTTGATTGTGGGCTGTGAGGCACGCCACCGTGAGGCGCGACTGGAGCTGCGCACGTCTTCGTGTTACCTGCCGCGTGGCTTCACCTCAGCGGCGCGGCACTTTGAGATTGGTGCCGCTCTCAACCGCCTGCGCACACTTCGAACAATGGCGAAGGCAACGATGTAGCGGGGTGGGAAACAAAACCAACAACAAAAAAAAAAACAAAAAAAGAATTTAACAAAAGAAAACGGCAACCAAGAATGGGCAAAACAGCGTGAGGGGGGGGGGG